GGATGCGGGGAAAGGGGAACCCTTTTGTGCTGCTGGTGGGAATGCAAGCTGGTGCAGCCACTCTGGAAACCAGCATGGAGGTTCCTCAAAAAGCTAAAAATAGAGCTACCCTATGACCCAGCAATTGCACTACTGGGTATTTATCCTAAGGGTACAAAAATCGTAATTCAACGGGGCACCTGCACCCCAGTTTTATAGTGGCAATGTCCACAATAGCCAAAATACGGAAAAAGCCCAAATGTCCAAGATGTCACACACACACGCACATGTATGCACACGTGCTTGCACATCCTGGAATGTTACTCAGCCATCAAAAAGAAGGAAATCTTGCCACTTGCAATGACATGGATAGAACTAGAGGGTATTATGCTGAGCAAAATAAGGCAGTCAGAGAAAGACAATTACCATATGATTCCACTCCTATGTGGAATTTAGGAAACAAAACAGATGAACATAGGGGAAGGGAATGAAAAGTAAGAAAATCTGAGAGGGAAGCAAATCATAGAAGACTCTTAAATATAGAAAACACCCTGAGGGTTGCTTGGAGGGGAGATGGGTGGGGGATGGCTAAATGGGGGACAGGCATTAAAGCGGGTGCTTGTTGGGATGAATACTGGGTGTTGCAGGTAAGTGATAAATCATGAAATTCTACCCCTGAAACCAATACTACACTCTATGTTAACTAACTTGAAGAAAGAAAAAGAAGTGTAAATATTTCCAAGGACCACATATTTCCTCAGCCAGTGCTCAGTGAGGGACCACCTTCCGTGCCTCTATCAGGAAAGGAGAAGCCATTCTGTTCTTTCTGGGAGGGTCTCACTGTGCCTTCCCTTATAGGACTGATAAACTTTGTCCCTGTCTGCTAAATCCCCACCTGACACTTCTTGCCTTGAGGCCACTTGGGAAAGAGACAGAATGGTGCCAAAGAGAAAGATGGCCAAACAGGGAACCCCAGGGGTTGAGGTGGGGAGGCAGCGTAAGAGTGCTGAAGGGGTGACCCTGACCCACAGTGGTGGGTTATGAAATAGAGCAGCCTGGCACGTCCCTCTGTGAACTCTATGAGCTTGTCCCTCCATCACCTGGGCTCTTGCTTCTCCCTCATCTAGGGGACAGGAATGGTTTCTCATTCTCTACTTCCCAAGCCTAGTTGGCCAAGGTCCACTGTTTCAGTCAGAATTCTTGAGAGAAAAAGAGCCAATAGGAGGCATATGTACACACACACCCATAAAGGGATTTATGTCATCGAATTAGCTCATGTGATTACAGGGACTGGCAAGTCTGAAATCTATAAAATGGCCAGGCAGGCTGGAAACTCTCCAGACAAGAGCTGATGCTTCAGTCTTGAGGCAGAATTCTTCTCTAAAGGCCTTCAACTGATTGGATGAGGCCCACCAATGTACTCAAGCGCAGTCTCCTTTACTTAAAGTCAGTTGAAGGTAGATCTTAAGCACATTCACAAAATATCCACATGCTAGTACCTAGATTTGTGCTTGATTAAATGACTGAGCACTATAGCCTAGCCAAGTTGCCTCACAAAATTAACCATTCCATCCAGCATACAGCTCAGCAGTGACCTCAGGACCACATGGTAAAGGGGGCGCCATTCCAACCTTCCTCCAGGTCCATTGCTGGTTAGTGGGAACACTGGACCACTCACTGTTGGCAGGTCATCCAACTTCACCTAGATCTGAGGGTCCTTGGTGGGAGGTGTTCCAGCAACTACCTTTCCCCAAGAACTACTCGCTTATCTCATTGAACTTGAGGCTAACAAGGAGAAGGATGTACCGAGTGTCCATATTGGAACTGATAGAGGTCCTTCCTGGCATGTCAGCACAGATTAATTGGCTAATTGATATTAATTTTTACTCCAGGTCAGTGAACTCCTAATGAGCAGAGTGACCATGAAATTTATCATCCAGACTAGGACACTTTTGAGAGTGGAGGGGCACTGTTAATCATTCTGGACAGCAGATGTGAATCCAGACGGTCCTGGGAAAAGCAGAGCATATAGAAGACTTCATCATGGCCATTGCTGCATCTTTTTTTTTTAGATTTTTTAAAAATTTATTTATTCCAAAGAGAAAAAGAAGATGAGAGAGAGAGCGCAAGCATGAGATGGGGGGAGGGTCAGAGGAAGAAACAGACTCCCTGCAGGGCAGGGAGCCCTATGCAGGACTTGATCCCTGGACTCCAGAATCATGATCTGAGCCAAAGGCAGTCGCCCAACTAACTGAGCCACCCAGGTGCCCCCACTTCTTTGTCTTCTTAAGAGCTCTTTTACAGGGAGTTATTTTCTATGTCTGTGTTCCACAAGAGTTAATCAAGTCAACAATATGAGTAGTGTTGTGGGTTGAATTGTGTCCCCCCCCCCCCCCCCCCCCCCCCCCGCCAAAAGATAGGTTGTGATCTTAATCCTTGGTTATCTCTGAATGTGACCTTTTTGGAAATAGGGTCTTTGCATAGTCAGAAGGAGGTCACACTGGGGTGGGGCGGGGAGGGGACCAGACAAGAGAAAGCCATTTAGAATTCCTCCACCTGCTACACCCCCCTGGACTGGCTTTGGTGTGTTTCTTTCCAGTTATTTTCTTTGGCTTATTTGTTCGTAGCTGCAATTTTGTGTGTGATTTTGTGTGGGGTTTTTTTTCATTAATGATTAGATATATCTGTTTAGGCCCCCTCGTCTACGGTATTTTGTTGTGGCAACCCTAGCAAGCTCACATACCTCATTTCTTTTTTTTTTTAATTTAAAGTCAATTTAATGAACATACAGTGTATTATTAGTTTCAGAGGTAGAGTTCGGGGATTCATCAATTGTGTAAAACACCCCATGCTCCTCACACCACGTGTCCTCTTTCATGCCTGTCATCCAGTTACCCCAGCCCCCCACCCCTCTCCCCTCCAGCGACCCTCAGTTTGTTCCCTATGGTTAAGAGCCTCTTATGGTTTGTCTCCCTCTCTGGTTTTGTCTTATTTTGTTTTTCCTCCCCTTCCCCAATGTCCATCTGCTTTGTTTCTTAAATTCTACCTATGAGTGAGATCATACGGTATTTGTCTTGCTCTGACTAAGATGCTCCAGTTCCATCCACGTTGTTGCAAATGCCAAGATTTCGTTGTTTTCAATGGCTGAGTAATATTCCAGTGTGTGTGTGTGTGTGTGTGTGTGTGTGTGTGTGTGTATCTCTTCATCTTTATCCGTTTATCTAATTTCTAAATAAGTTTCCTGGTGGACATGAGTTTTATTCAGCCCATTCTAGGGGACATATTTAGCTTTCACTGGTGGTCTTGGGTTGGAAGTGGGGACAAGCAGCAGGGAAGCCGGCCCTCGCTGGCCAAGCTCTGACCGTCTGGGCCTGTCATGGCTGGGCTTCCTGGACTTCCAGACACATGAGTCGGAGTCCTGCTGTCCTGTATGCTGTGGCCATGTCCATGTGTCCATCTGGGTGCTGAATCCTATTGCTAAGTAGCTGTGATGCTGAGTAAAGCCCTTGATGTCCCTGGACCTCGGTGTCCTTTTCTTCCCTTTAAAATGGGGGCTTAGGTGCTTCTCGTGGTCAGGACAAGGGTGCTCAGCATCAGGCCAGGGAGGGAGGGAGGGATGGCAGTGTTGGATTGGATGTTGCCCCTGTGATTTTGGTAAGCCTGTGCCCTGTCCTGGGTGCAGGACCCCGGGACCAGGTAGATCTGGATCCACTTCCAGCCCTAAAATCCCATGGGGGTTGCTCCGGGAGAGAGCAGTCCTCCTGCTGGATCTTCCAGTCATATATTTATTTCTTTGCGTGCTTAATCTCTTTCGGAATGTGCTGGGGGAAAAAAAAAAAAAAAGGATAGGATTTTTAAACTCCTTTTCATGCCGGTTAGGCCAGTGATTTAATTATTTTTGCTCCTGGTGGAGACATGAGGGTGATGGTATAAAACCTAGACATCCCAGCTATTGCCCATGAAAGGTATAAAATTCTTCATGAAGTTATTTTAAATCATAGAATTGGGGGGGGGAATCACGATTTTTTTCTTTTTCTTTTTTTTTTTTTTGCTTTTGGTTTCTGGCACTCGGGTGGTTTCTAAAACACATTAAGTTGAAATGATGGAAGTTTGAAACTATTTAAATTCCTTCCCCATCCTCACAGTCTAGCTTACATCATTTCAGAATAAACGTCAGGGCTCAGAACGTGGGGTTATTTTTAACCGAGGTAGAAAGCAGAGAGCGAGCGAGAAAGAGAATGGTGTGTTTTGAGGCGATTTTTTTTTTCTGTTTTGAAAAATTCACTTCACAGTTTATATTCCGTAAAGAGAGTCGGCTGATTGAAAGGTTGAAGAAAGATCCGCCTTTTTTAAAAAAATTATTTTTTATTAACATATAATGTATTATTAGCCCCAGGGGTACAGGTCTGTGAATCGCCAGGTTTACACACTTCACAGCACTCACCATAGCACAGACCCTCCCCAATGTCCATAACACAACCACCCTCTCCCTACCCCCCTCCCCCCAGCCACCCTGTTTTGTCAGATTTAGAGTCTCTCAAAGATCTGCCTTTTATGGAGGCACATTTCTGTCAAACCCTTTGCTCCTGGGAAAGGTCACAGCTTAGCATCCAGGCAGCACCTTGGAAGGCCAGAGCCGAGGAAGCAGGGCCGGCCAGCCCGCCTCTGGGGCATCCTTTGGGCAGAGCTCGTTCTAGCAGGTTCGTGTCTGAAGGGAGGTCGAAGTCCAAATGCTCATTCAACCCACGGATGTTTCCTGAACACCCAGCTGGTGCCAGCACCTGGCAGCTCACAGGCTGTCGTGGAGCCAGCGTGGGAGGGCAGGTGGCAAGTGGCAGGTGGCGGCGGGAGGAGGTGAGAGATGGTGGGGCCGCCCTGTGCCGGTGTGGGCATTTATCCTCAGAGCAGCTGGGAACCGTTGAAGGGCTTTAAGCTCCCCGAGCCTGGGAAGGAGCTGGTCTGGCTTCGGGCAGAGCACAGAAGGGGGCAGGTCGAGAGAAGACACGCGCTGGAGAGGCTGATGGAGCTGGAGAGGTGGGTGGACCCGAGCCACGTAGGAGGTGAGGTTGCCAGGACCCCGTGGGGCACTGGCCGAAGGCGGGCAGAGGGCTGAAAGCAGTCAGCACTCCGTACAGGAAATAGAAGCCCTTCTCCACATTTTATACGGAAAGGAATTTCAGGGAACAATGTGCTTATGAAATTGTAAGAAGGGCTAAAGGAACAGGATCTGGAAAGGGGAAGATCAAGTTCAAAGACAACCTTGGCAGGAATAAGGAAATGTGTCCTGTTGCCAGGAAAGCCTCTCTACTCTTATACCTCTTATAACCAAGGTTGTCAGAGGAGGAACTCCTCTGCCTCTTATCCTTCCTCCCAGTCCCCTAGGTTGGCAGAACCTACTTCTCATGCAGAACCCCAGCTTCAAGGTTGTCCAGACTCCACAGAACAGGGAACAGAGCTGATATGTGTGACCGTGCAGTGCATAGCCTCGTGCATTGTACTGGCGTCCCTGATGGGAAGGCTCATGGAAGCTGGGTGCCAGTTATCCCTGTCCACCCATCACAGAGCATGGGGGAGGAGGAGGGACCCACACCAGGACTTCTTTCATGCAAACCAACATGGATGGTGGACCACTCACTGGGGACAGGTTTCAGGTATTTCGAGGATGGCGAAGGTGTGACGTTTAGTTGGTAGCTGGGTGTGTTAGGTCTTGAACTCAGGAAAGATTGGGATTTGGAAGAAGTCTGCAGAGATTAGGAAGTCAAAGCCAAGATCATGTGGGGAAGGTGCATAGGTGGAGAGAAGAGGGCTTGGGGAAGAGCTCTGTGAACCACAGTTTTCGGGGTTCCATGAGGGAGGGGCTTCTAAAGGCCACTGGGCAAGTGAGGAGAGTGGGTGAGAGTGGGGGAGCCCAAGAAACTAAGAGAGAACATCGTGTGGAGGTGGGATGACACAGCAACATGGGTGAATCCTGAAGGCGTTTTGTCCAGTGAAAGAAGCCAGACCAAAAGGGGCAGAAGAGACCAGAAGGCAAGGCAGCATCTTGTATGATTCCATTGATATGACATCTTGGGAAAGGCAAGCTGTAGGGGAAGGAAACACACCAGTGGTGGCTAGGAGTTGGGGTGCAGAGGGGCGTTGATTGCAAAAAGCACAAGGGAATTTTGGGAGTGATGGAATATTCTGTCTCGGGATGCGATGGGTGGATCTCAAGACCCATGGGAGTTTATGTCCCAAAGAATGAATTCTATATGTAACTTGGGTCAGTGGGTGGGTGGATATATTGCTCATTCATTCATATGTTCATACATCCATAAACAGGAAGTGATCAGTTTTATTAAATGTTTCAAGTTGGTTGAGGAAGAGGAGTGACAAGTATTCCCAGATCCACGGAGTAATGGACAAGACCCCTGCCAGGCTGGGCCATGGACTGTCAGCAGAACTGGCCTATGGCCTCCGTGTGCAGCCCTCTTTTCAAAAGCTCAATGTCTTGCCCTGGCCCTTAGAGCTTCAGGAAGACAGAGCCTGTCCTTGGGTAAAGGAGGCATTTGTCCCAATGTATCTCTGTTTCAGATAAAATGCTCTGATAAAGAGCCCGGCGTTGGCTGGGCTCCTGCCTGGGTTCTCCTCTCCTCCTCTGTCCCAAATCTGTGACGGTGGGCAAATCCAGCTTCTCAGGTCCTCCATTTCCTCCTCAAGAGAATGGCGATGTGGGAACGATGTGGCAGACATCTGTGTGGCAGACTGATGTGGCAGACGGGAGGGCTTTGAAAGATTTGTAATGCCTTTTTCAAGACTTGATGTGGGTGCCCCACTCTCCATGGGCTTCCTGCTCACTCCCCCTCGGGTCAGTAACCCGCCTGGCTGGCTTCACTTGCCACCATCCCTGCAAGCTTCTCACTGTCTCTCAATCATTTGCTTACTTGTCCTACTGCCTCCAGCCCCTTGTGGCCCATCTGCGACACTCGTAGTAAATGCTTGCGCCCGGCGCACAGTGATGCTCGAGAAATGTGTATTAATCTGTACGCTTTCAGGGTCTGTGTATTCGCCATCTCAACATCCTGCTGTTCTCTGGATGACTTTGGCTTTCTCTGAAAGTCAAGTCACCCTCCAAGATGAAGAGCGCCAAGCCCACGGGTGCCTCAGGCTCCCATCTGCCCTTTCCCAGAAGGCCCGACACCTATCAGCAAATACTTGTTGAACAAATTAATACATTTTGAAAATGAGCAGTGATGTTGGCAGAAGTACGGAGCCTTGAAAGGGCAACACTGACTCAGGGATTCTGAAATATAATGGCGTCATCCGTGTAAGTTTGTCAACAGAAAAGGTCAAGTGTGCCCCGGGGGTCTCGTTTATAGGGTGTTAGCCGGGTAGCTGGTGGTGGAGAGGGGGGTTGCAGGTGCTTCTGTTCCCATGGGCCTTACCGTTTCCCCTCCGATGTCCAGGAAGGCACCTGGTGGGAAAGACACCCCCCCACACACATATATACATACACACACAGCTCCCACCTGCCCACACACAGTAGAGTTGGGTGAAAGGGAGGGAGGCCGACATCTGAGGTATAAGCGGAAGGATGTGTTCAGAACCACAAGTAATGGAGAAGCTGGTTCTGGGCACCAAAGTCCAAAGGAGAGAATCTTAAAAGGGAGGTGGGCAGAGGCTGGGTCTTTGGCAGCTGTCCCTCCCCTCCTCTTCCATGGGCCCCCCCACCCCCATCCCCCGGTGTCAGGGTGCTGGGATCATCCCTGGTTTCCACCTGCAGATGCATCTCTTCCCTTTCCCCCCACCCACCCCAGCCAGATTTCTGTACCTTAAAGGCTTAGGCATGACCTCAAAAGCCGTGTGTGCCTGCCCCCTTGATTCCTCTGGTGGGGATATGAGCAGACAGAGTGGCTCGGCCCCTTGTAGCCGTGCAAGCGTCGTGCCCTTGAACATGCCTGGGGGTTCCTGATCCCAGCAAGCCCAGGAGGAGAGTTTTTCTCAGGAAGCTGGGATTAAGCAGACCCAGCATCCAGATCCTCATGTGGCTGGTCTGATCTCATGCGCCGTCTCCTGTTCTTCCCCACTAAGCTGGTTTTGTCTCCCCTTTTGCTTTCACAAACCCAAGGCTCAGCCCCTGGAGCCACGGTGACAGCCTTGCATCAAAGGTAGGGTCTGTAGGACAGTCGCCTAACGGGCTGAGTGCTGAGCGTCCTTTAACCCTTACAGCAGCCGGTGGGGGGCAGGCTCTGCAGTGATCCCCAACTCAGAGACAAGGAGACAGCCTCAGAGGTGTTAAGCGGCTTGCAAAGGTCCTGCAAGGAACACATGAGGGGCAGAGGCCCTTCCTGGAACCTGCCGGCTGCTTCGAGCCCGTGTACTGAGCGGCTCCATACACTGTGTGTGGTTTTAAAGTTGCTGCTGTTGGTGACAGAGGTGGGATGAACAGTATTCCTGCTGGGCGTGCTCCATGGCCTGTACCCCAAATGTCAGTTTTTAGAAGATTTGATTCCTGAACCAGGAAGCGGACTGGTCTCTGCTACCAGCTGCCAACTGGGAAGGGTAGTATGGCCATCCACCTGTGGCAACCACACAGACACAATGACCGTTCTACCAGCTCGCGTGGCAACAGGGTGCCACTGAAGAAATGGAGGGACATACTCAGCCAGGGTCCCGAAAGCTTGTGGGTAGTTGTGCCAAGACTCCAATTCAGGTCTTCTTTCCCGCTTTGCCGGGGGATGTCCCTCTGTGTGAGAGACAGCCCCTAATGCCAAGCAAGGAACACGGGGCCCCACGGTGAGTCCAGGTTTCTATAGCTGGGGTTCCCGAGCTGGTCACTTTCCCCTTTGAGCCTCACAGGGTTGGACATTTGTGGCTGCAGGACCTGCCTCATGGGTTCGGGATATGGCCAGAAGACTCGGGTGGGTACAGAGGTCAATGGGTCATGAACAGCTGATAGCTTTGCTGGTAACTCTGTCTTGGCTGGCAAAATTAAGTCCTGGATGGCTTGCTCTCACCTCTGCCACCATCCAGTTTCTATGCAGGGTTGCAAAGCAAGCTTGGTACGGTGGCTGAACCAGTAGAAGCCTGCTCCTACCAAGGACAAAGCCATTTATCATCCATATCTCCCCCCTGCTGGAGCCCAGATGATATGTCCTCGCAGCAGAAATGCACATTACTTTCTTCTAATTTTCAAAAGAATTCCCAGGATTGAATAAATCAGCAGCTCTCAGCACACTGTCTTGGAGAATCAGGAACCATCTCGAATTTTCAGAGCAGAAGCATCTATTGATCTGCCTTGAAATACCCCAGACTGTTGGATTTCTCCTGGAAAAATGTCCGGCCCCAGGAATGCCAAGCATCTCCCCTCCCCCTTATAATAAGCATCTCTGAGCCCGCAAACCTGGGAACAGGTCCCCGCTCTTGAAATGACAGCAGTGGTTCTATTAAAGAATTTTGATTACAGGAAAAAAATAAGTGAAAGAATCCATATTTCATTAAAGTTGCTTGTTTTAAAGTGGGAACGTTTCCTGGGTGTCTGGGGAAGCTGATGTTTTCTAGGCCTTGCGGGAGAATCTAGTCTTACAAAACAAGATTTTCCACGTAAGGGAGAAAATCATCACTCTCAGAGCTGAAGGCCAAATTGTATTTACAGAGAAGGGATTTTTTTTTCCCCCCCCGGAAGTTTCTTTGCGAGCAAATGGAGCACCCACCGTGAAGCTATTGTCCTTTTAGGTGTTTAAGCAGTTTGTGAGGGTAATGAGAGCATCCTAATAGGATGAGAGGATATAAATGGGCATTTTTATTCGTATTTTAACATTTTTTAGTTCAATCAACTGTTAAAGTGTTTTGGGAACCCACTGCAGTGTCAGGCCTGGCTAAGGCACAAAGAATGTAATAACACAGGGCAGTGTGGATCCCTGCCTTCCAGAAGCTTCCATTCTAGCTGATGGGATGAAGACGTGGTCCATTGGTCATCTCGAATGGGGGAGTGGGGTGAGAAGGAATTATTCCTTCATTCCCTGTGAACTTTCTGAGGCCAAGAAGCAAATAATTTGCTCAGATCCCTCAGGAGTGTTAAGGGTGATACCCTAGAATCTGAGTGTGTGATTCCTAATGCGGGAGGCTCTGCACGCCACAGGGCCACCCACTGTCTAGGATGATGAAAGCCCATAACAGTTACCCACCCCAACAGGAGCATTCTTGGGGCCAAAGGAGGGACTGTGATGTGGAACTCGATGACCCAAGATGGCAGTGTGCCAGTGGCAGCCTCTCTCCCATTGATCATGTTCCCTGTGTGTGTGGTTCTGCCGAGTATATCCAACTGGGGGGACGGCAGTTTTTCCTCCTCGTGCCAGCACTGCCATCCCCAACCCACCCGATGTCACTTGACATCTTTGGGGATCTTGAGTTCCCCAACTGGAGTGACAGATCCATCATGGGTGGAAGGAGAGATTGAGAGGAGGAGTCGGTGGGCCTGGGTGAAGCTAGAAGTGCTTTGCAGGAGAACACCTGTCCCTGAGCTCTGGGAGGGTAGACGGGACCAGAAATGACTCTGGTGTGAGGGGATTCTGACTTGGCAGAATCCTGGGAGGGCACATCTGAAATTCACCACAGGCTGGAAATGTTTGAAAAAGTGAGGCATATTATTAAGGTCCATCTTACCATTTTACTGATGGTGAAACTGAGATACACGGAGGTTAAGGAACTGTCTGTGTAGACACGGCTGTGAACATTTCGAGGCAGGATCTGAACCTCATGGCAGATGAGCGCAGAGAGCCTGCCCTCCTGAGCGGGACTGACCGTCTCCAGCCTCGGCCTGACTGCCAGCGGGACTGTGTTTGTAGCAGATCCAAGTGGAGATTGAAGCCACTGGGGACCTAGCTGTCTGCTGGGAATGTGATCACAATCCATAGACAAAGCGAGGAACCATCCCCTGATTTCTCTCTTTGGTGTATTTTGACATTTTTCTACTTTGTTTTCCTCTAACATCTTTATTGAGATAGAATTCCCATACCATACAATTTATCTATTTAAGGTATATAATTGGGTGACTTTTAGGGTGTTGGTAGTTGGGCAAACATCACCACAATTTTAGGACCATTTCATGAACCCCGGAAGAAACCCTGTACCCTTTAACAGTTATCCCCCAAACCATTCTGCTTTCCAGCCCTAGGCAACCACTAATCTACCTCTGTTTCTCTAGATTTGCCTCTTCTGGAATTTTATATTAATGGAATCTTACAATATGTGGTCCCGCGGGATGGGCTCCTCTCAGCATCACGTATTCCTGTGTGAGGGTTCCTCCGTGTTGTTCCATGCGTCCGTGCTTTGTCTTTGTATGGCTGAATATTCCCTTGTATGGGAATATTCCACATTTGGAATAGACCACATTTTATTTACCCATTCATCCACTGATGGATGTTTGGGTTGATTCCATATTTTGGTGCTTATGAATAATACTGCCATGAACATTCCCGTGCAAATTTTGTGTGGACATGTTCTCACTTCTCTCAGGCACATACTTGGGATTAGACTCACTGTGTTGTGTTGTAACTCGACGTTCAACCTTTTGAGGAACTGCCAGACTGTCCTGCCACAGAGGCTGTACCCCCCGACCAGTTATGAGGGTGCCAACCACTCCGTGTCCTTGCTAATGTTTGTTATTATCTCTCTTGGCCATCCTAGTGGGTAGGAAGTGTTTCATATGTTAAAAAAAAAATTGCAAGGGATATGTTAAATTAGGTCAATTCCAAGTTTCTAGAGCATCTGTGGATAATTCGGTACTCAGCAATGTTTTCCGAGGAGCGTGGGCGTGCTGTGGACGTGGGAGCTGTAGCTGGCTGGCCCCCTCCTGGGGTAGCTGAAAGCCTAGCAGGTTCTCCAGATCCACAGGAGACTCTCACGCTGCCAGTGAGGCCATCACGGCACCGACTGATAACTAACCCCCTGCCGTGTCCTCTTGTCTTCCAGCGATTCATGAGTTCCCTACAGACCTGTTCTCCAACACGGAGCGACAACACGGAGCTGTCCTGCTGCATATCCTCGGTGTAAGTGGCCCGGGTGGGATGGGCTATTCCTATACCTCAGGCAGCCAGAGCGTGTCTGCAGAGCACGGACAAGCCATAGCATGTCAAAGATGTCCCATCCTTGGAAGATGACATCTGGGAGAACAGGTGCTAGACCCATTTTAACCACAAAAAAACAGAGTCTTAAAGATGTCGGGTGACTGGCCCTGTGTTGCCCAGCAAGTGACCCCAGAGCCAAGACAAGACTCCCGTGTCTTTCTGGGCCCCATTTTCTACTTTCCTGAAAAGGGAGCGACAGCGTCTTTCCCAGCCATGCGAAAACATTCCCAGCCATGCGTGAGTGTGAGTAAAGTGCACTAGACGTTGCACTACAGATAAGAAGTGCTCTGTGCGCGCTTGCTGTCACAATTCCCGTGATCCTCCACTCCCACTCCACATCTCACCACCTTGACGTAACCATAGTTTAAAACTTCGGCACACCCTTTCTCAAATTTCCCTCTGTCTTCAGATGAGACGTGATGACAATGGTGGAATCCTCAGACACCAATTTAAAAAGGACTAGCAGGTCCAAACCTCAAGTACAGGCAAAAGTTGCTCTTCTCTGACAAGAGTAAGCAAACTGCAGCCTGAAGCCGCGGCTGGTGTTTGTAAATAAAGTTTTATTTGAACACGGCCCTTCCCATTGTTTCTGTATTCTCTGTGGCTGCTTCTGTGCTTCAGTCCCAAAGTAGCTGTAACACAGTGACGTGGTCCGCAAAGCCAAAAATATTTACTATCTGTCCCTTTGCAGAAAAGGTTCGCCAGTCCTTTTGTATGGTGTGGGGAAACGAAAGTGCTCGCGATTTGCTTTTCTGCTTGGGACACGGCAGATTTTCCTTTAATTAGGTTCCCTGACCACCCAGCACTATTTGCTTCTATAAGCCCCACCAAGTATTAGCCTTTGCAAGAGAGAATTCAGAAAGCGAAAGCTGGGATTCTTGCGGAGAGAGTAGCCCCCTGAGAATGATGAATGAGTGAAATTTTAATTAACAGGATAAACCGTTAATGACAGTGAAAGTTGTAGGCAAATATTGAATGACAGGCCTGTGTATTTCCGTAAGAGAGTTATTATCTTTCTAGTTCCCCTGGCTTTCCCACGCCCTCCTCTTTCACTGAGAGGCTGTGGGTTTGGCAAATTAATCCCATAGCTCTAGGGCTCTGCCTCAGGAAAGTCTTGGCATTGCTAAGACAAAACCTTCTCTCCCAAACCTGAGAAACACCTCAGGGATTTTGCAGGAGCCTTTAGAGCAGACATGAGCCAAATGATGGCTAGAGGGCCAAAATCTAGCCCACCTTCTGATTTTTATAAATAAAGTTTCATTGGAACCCAGCCACAACCACACCATGTTCTCTTCTATGGCCACAGAATCATTATGGCAGAGACTGTGTGACCTGTCAAGACCGAAATATTTACTGTCTGACTGTTTCAGAAAAACCTTGCTGACACCTTCTTTAAGAGAAAGACAAGTCGCAAGCTTTGGAGCCAGTTTTCGTCTGCAGCGCTAGGAACATTCTCAGAGCTGCCCAGCCAGAGTGGTGGGGACCAACTTGGCCTCCTTTTCTCTTATGTGTTTGCGAGGCCATCAGGAGAGCTATGCAGCCTCCCCTTCTCCTGGTAGAGGATGTTGTGGGAATTCCTGGGGGTATGAACTCAAGTCTGTTTCCTGAGATTTTCATAGCAGGATCTCTCTCCCTTCATTCTCTCTCCCTTCACCCATAACCCCCAGTATTTGTTTCTTTTTGCTCCCCCCCCCCAAAAGGTAATGAGTCAGATCCAAGGACAGCCATGCTTGGACTGCAGTAGACACCTGCCTTGGAGGCCTTGGCCACAGCTAATAGATCTTCCAGTCTATTTAATCACAATTCATTGGTGTGCAACTCCAACAACTTCACAGTTGTTTTTGCTGAAGCAGCCCAGCCTTTCCCAGTTTTGTGAACAGAGCATCTGTATCACTTTGTCTTTGAAGAAAGAAATGGTTCCCTCAGCCTTCAACACAAAGTCCCATCTGTCCATGGGCCCTGGGCCTGGCCTGTCCTTCCAACCTCACATCCTGTCTTCCACTTCACTATCACTCTGGTCTACCTGAGTAAGTGACCTTGCTGTTCCTCACGGACTCAAGCTCACTCCTACCTCAGGGCCTTTGCACTGGCCTTTCCCCAACAATTACACATTGTCTATTTGCCCCACTAAGGTCAGTTACAGGAGGCAGAGGCACTTCCTGGCAGGTTAGCCATGGAGCCCTGATGCCTAGAATAGTGCCTGGCCCATAGGTTGAGTTGAGTGGAAAGATGAACAGGACAGGGATATATAAAACCATTTGGAGGGGCGCCTGGGTGGCTCAGTGGGTTAAAGCCTCTGACTTCTGCTCGGGTCATAATCTCAGGTTCCTGGGATCGAGCCCCACATCGGGCTTTCTGCTCAGAAGGGAGCCTGCTTCTGACCCCTAACCCTGCCTGGCTCTCTGCCTACTTGTAGTCTCTCTCTTTCTGTCAAATAAATAGATAAAATTAAAAAAAAAAAAAAACATTTGGAAACTACTGATCTGTTCTCATCTCTGTCATCAAATAGATGAAGGGACTGAGCCCTGGAAATGTGACTTATCCAAAGGCACATGGCAAATCAGTCCCAGAATCAGCATTAGCATCTGGATGCTTTGTTCCATGAACCTCTGTGTGTGGATGGCTTGTGTATTTTAACTTCTGCCATCATTAGGTAGCATCCCAGGAACTGCTGGCTCGCCTGCTCACTGCCATTCATTCCAGCAGTGGGTGGCCGGGTGGTAAGAGGGAAATGGTGCCTTCACTAAAATGAAGGGGGAAGATCGGGATTGTTCTTACTTTAAACTCTTAAAAATGGTGATTCTAAATGCTTTCCTTCTTAGCCCTAAGGCTTAGAGCTTGCCTTTTGAGAGCAGCCTGAAATGGTGCTGGGGAGAGAGCTGGTGCTTTAGAGAGGAGAAGGAGCCCAAGACCATGTGGCCTGAGCTCTCATCCCCTTTGTTGCCAGCACATTATTTCCCCTCCCTGGGAATCCGTTTCCCCATCTGCTCATGAGGGAGCAGATCTCTGCGGTGCTGGAATTTTCCTCTGTGTCTCTCTCTGTGCACCCGGGCTCTGCCTTGGCAGGGTGCGACGGCTTCCTGGTTCGGGACGTGACATCGGGCCAGCCATGCCTCCTTAGCAGCAGGTGCATTTGCTGACCATCTCCCCCATTTCCTCCTCAGGCTCTGTACATGTTCTATGCCTTGGCCATAGTCTGTGATGACTTTTTTGTTCCGTCTCTGGAGAAGATCTGCGAAGTAAGTAGGGGGGACTTGGGATCTCACAGCAAAGCCAGGCTGGGGCTGGGGGGCCTGGGGCAACCAAGGACATGGGACTCGTCAGGGCCAGATGGAGAAGGACCAAGCAGGGAGCACTCTGGTGGTGACGACTGGCCACGCACTTACTGTGGCCACGGCAAAGCCTGGCTTTGACATCCCCAGAGCGGAGTCGGCAGGGGCCATTCTCTCCCTGATTTGCTCTCCCACGTGCCATTGGCACCCAGGACCTCTGGTTTCCCAGCAAGCTGTCACTGGTGAAGCTAAACCTGCCCATTAAGGAGCATTTCCCACAAGCTGCAGGTGGTGGGGACCAGGTGGGGATCTATGTCTCAGGGGATGATCCAGAGGCTGAGCAAAGAATGCCCTTTGGTCCAGTGTTTGCAGGTGGATGTTTTCTCCTCCTCATTGTTTTGTGAGCTTTTGACTTTCTTGTCTCCTCTCTTCTCACATGTAAGACTCCAGTGCTGGGGCGCCTGGCTGGCTCAGTCAGTAGAGCATGTAACTCTTGATCTCAGGGTTGTGAGTTCGAGCCCCTCATGGTGTGTAGAGATTAAAAATAAAATATTTTTTTTTTTAATTTTTTAAAGGTTCTAGGGTGTCTCTCTGCTCTGCCTTACCCTTGGCCGCTAACCAAGAAAGGATAACTACTTCCATTTCCAGCACCTACTATGTGCAGACCGCTCTGGGCTTTGGCACACTTTGTCCCCATGGAATCTTCTACCTATTTGAAGCCATGCCGTTGTTGTGACATCTGCAGCTGGGGCCAGAGCTTGTTAGGGCAGGGGCTTCCTTGCTGCTGAGCACAGAATAGGGCCTCCCGAGGAGCGGGGAATGTGGCATCAAGGTGCACAGGCCTTCCCCTCCCCCGGTCTCCATCTTCCCCTGACTCAGACTGAACTGTGGGTCAATGAGCAAGTTGAGCCAGAGAAAGAGTGTATGGAGAGAATCAGGAGATGGCCTCTGGGGATGGGTGACCAATGCACAGGCCAGTGCCCAGTGGAAAGGCCCCTCCAGATTACCTGCCTCTGTAAGGACACAGACGTGAGCAAGGGGGATGGTCCTGGCCCTATGGGCAAGTCCCCTGGAAGGGGCTCAGTAAGAGCCATCAAAGGACTGAAGGGCCAAAAGGAAGAATGCAATGTGTCTGTTGGGGAGAAGCCTAGGAGGGTTTCATGGAGGAAGTGGTATCTGATCTAAACTTCTGAAGTGGTCAGGATTTCTCCAAGCAGAGAGGACAAGGAAGGGCATACTAGGAGGAAGGAATAGCTCAGGTGAAGACAGAATCTTCACCTGAGTTTGTAATGGTTTATAATGTGCTAGAAGATACCGGAAATGCTCTGATGGCAGATCATTTTCTGTGGAATCCTCTCCTGATGGATGAGGTCACAGTGGCCGGGCTTCTGCCCTGGGGGGGGTCAGTGCTTGACAGAAGCCCAGAGCTCCGACCCCTCTGAGGGACCGCTTCCTATAGCAAGGTCAGCAGGGAGGTTGTGCTGACCCCAGACTGCCCAGGGTACTTGGGAAGGTGGATGCAGGAGGAGGCCGAGCCCTGCCCAGATGCCTTCTGATGACCACAGAGTAAGTGCTTTCAAGTTTGGGTTCAGGGAGCCCAGAATCTTCGTGGCTTCTCCCAGTATCCAAAGCCCCCAACAGCATATTCTCGATCAGAGGATGGGCCTCTGTGGCTGGGGCATGGCCTTGCAGGTGCCTTATCAGAGATCCAGCCTCATCCCCGGATCTAGGTTGTCTGGCTCTTTGGGTCCGAGAGCAGCCAGGCTTCGGGGCTGCCACGGAGAAGGCCTTCTGGAATGCAAGGGCCAGACTGTGCCTCTGGGACCTCTAGGTCCCACAGCCCTGAATTGGGGAAGTCTGCATGGTACCCAAGTTCTGCGTGGACCCTGGAGGCAGCTGCTGGCTGAGCGCCACTGCATCCCAGACTCTGAATTAGGCACTGGCAATCCAGAGGTGAAAAAGACCAACCTTCACCGTCCAGTGGGGAAGGCACGAGTATAGTCCTCAGACCCTCACTGGGTGGTTTGTGTTTCATTAATTGGAGGACAAGACTCTTCCACTGGTCCAAGGGGAACAGCTGACTCTGGGGGTACAGTTCGAGAGGTGACCTCATTTAGGGGCTTGGCAATTGAGCAGAAAGTGACAGGGGAAGGGGACAGGGGACTCCGGGTGGGGTGGCCCACAGAGTAGCAGGAGGCATGTGCTGAGGGTGCTGGAAGGCGACACAGCCAGCGCAGGTGCCGGACTCTGGCCACAGCAGTCCCCCACGCTTGCCATGATCGTGGACATGTCCAGTGACTGTGTCCGCTGTCCCCACCTCACAGCCTGAGTGTCTGTGGTCACTTCTGTTTCAGAAGCTCCATCTGAGTGAAGATGTGGCGGGAGCCACTTTCATGGCCGCAGGAAGCTCCACGCCCGAGCTGTTTGCCTCTGTTATTGGTAAGAAAGGCCCCCAGTGGGGGACACAGGACCCAGACCCCCACCCCTGGCCAGTGAGGGCATTTGTCAGCTCTGAGCCTCTGTTTTCTCAACTGTAGAGCGGGAGAGCTGGGGAGACAGAAAGTAAAGTCGGGTTCCCTGGGGGCGTGTGGGAGAGCAAAGGGCGGGTGGGTAGAGGGCTTCTTTTGTGGGGGCAGGATAAAAATGTTCTAGAATGAGATTGTGGTGATGGTTGCACAATTCTGTGACTATACCAAAAAACGGGGTTATATACTTTGAATGGGTGAGTTTTATGGCATGTGAATTATATCTTGATAAAGCTGTGTTTTTAAATAAAAAAAAAGGAAAGGGGGGGTGGGAGGAATGGAGTTAGCTGGTCGCCCAGGACACTTTCTCGTCTCCGGTTCTGCTGTGCCCCTCAGCCCCCCAGGCATTGTGATGAGGAGAACAACTCCATCCGTCCATGGGGTTGGGGACACAGCCCTCCCAGCAGCCCAGGGAGGGGGCAGGACCGGCACAGGAAGGTTTCTGCCTTTCCTATTATAGGTGTGTTCATCACCCATGGAGACGTTGGCGTTGGGACCATCGTGGGCTCTGCGGTGTTTAACATCCTGTGTATAATCGGCGTTTGTGGATTATTTGCGGGGCAGGTCAGTGGTTTGTCTCCCTTTGTAGAGTGACATAAGGGACAGCAGTGGGGGAACCCGGGACCCCGCCTTGGGTGTGCCCTTGACTGACCGAGGCTGAGCAAGTCGGCTTCCCCCTCCAGGCCCGGGTCCTCCCAGGTATGAGTGGCATCTGACGTTCTGTCCATGTCCAGCACCATCGGATCCGAGGGCAGGACAGGGTTGGCTCTCTTGTCTGGGCCAAGGGTGAGCATTCACTGAGCAGCAGTAGGTCTTTGAGAGGTCCCTCCTGTAACCTTGACCCTGAGCTAGATTCTGGAAATATCTGAGGCCTGCCTTTGGCCTCCTTAGCAAGGAGGTTGAAGCTGGCCTGTTGCTGATACCCCATGACCATCTTCCTGGTCCTCAGGGCCCTGGGGGCATTACACTCGCCCCCAGAGAGGCAGGCTCATGAGTCGGCCCTACCTGGCCAAGCGAGGTAGTTTACCACCAGAAGCTTCCAGCATCTGGCTCTGCCTTGACCCTGGGCTTCTGCTGTGAGACAGGTTGTTACCTCAGAGGAGAGGGAACAGTTAGGTCCTCACTTACAAACACTGTGTACTTTTGTCCTGTTGCCAAAATACAATGGAGAGCACTGGGTGGCCTTGAGCAGCCTGGAGAGGCTTGTTTCCGGTGGCACAGTTAGTAGGAACTCTGTGGGTGCATCCCTGTCCCTGCGGGGCTCAGGGCTGGTGAGAAAGCTAGTCCCCGCACCACCCCCCATCTCCCCAGCCATCAGCAGCTGACAGCCCTTTGCTTGGCAGGTGGTCCGTCTGACGTGGTGGGCTGTGTGCCGAGACTCCGTGTACTACACCCTCTCTGTCATCGTGCTCATTGCTGTGAGTTACCCCCCTGCCCGTCTCTGTCCCCGTCCCCTCTCCACTCTGCCTCCCTCGCCTGAAAACCTCGTGCCTGACACCCTGGTTATGGAGCAAATCCAGTGAGCACCTTGAATTCAGAAAGGCTTTGGAAACGTCAGAGCACATGTCCCATTGTCCATGAAGTTAAGTTCAAGCCCTTTGCTCCTCAGGGGCCCTCAGAGCCTCCGTTAGAGCCCGATGCCTGAGAATCGGAGTTTCTGGGTTCACTGCTTGCCGCAGAGCAGGAGAGAGACCGAGGCTGGCTGGAGACAGGCAGAATGGGCCGCTGGGGGAACATGGAGAAAGGCAAAAGAGCCGGAACAAGGTTTCTGGGGTCTGTTAGTGTGGGGGAGAGTGACAAGAGATTACCCCCCCAGTCCCCCCATGGCTAGCGTGGCATCATGGCCCATGACACTGAAGCACAAGGCACAGGCTACTGCCGAGACACGTGCCACCCCCAGAGGAGACGTTTCAGTCCAGGCGGTGGCATGAGGGCAGAGGACTGTGGTGTGCCCAGATTTTCTGGAATGTGCCTCAGAGAGTACCCGACCTCACAAGATCTAGAGCCAACTGTACAGGACAGTCCCATCCCTTGTATGAATTATCTGTGGGTAACAAATTTCCCCCAAACGCTGCAGCTTCAACTAGCAAGTAGTTCTCGCTCTTGTTGTCTGTGAATCGGAATTCAGGGTTTCGCACAGATGGTGGCCAGGGTACACGACTCCCCCAGTGAGAATCTGCTTTGGGTGGGGGTCCCCTCGCAGGGCTGCAGATAGGCCTCCTCTGAGCCTTCCTGACCGCCTGCTCACCATGCTGTGCTCACCACGATGACTGACTGCCCTCAGAGCAGGGGTGAGAAGGTGCCACCATGGAAGGGAGCCTGTGACCTGATCATGGGGGCTGTAACCCACCGCTTTCGCCACATTCTGTTTGTCAGGAGCTTCCCAGGCCATAGAGACAGGCCCGGCAGCATGAATATCAGGCGGGGCATTACTAGGACCATTTGAGACCACTGGGACCCCTGTCTACACAACCCCGAAAAGAAAAGTCATAGATAAAACAATATACCTATATGCAGTTTCAAAAAAAAAAAAAAAGAATCAAATGATGCCCAGTCTATCAAAGACAGAAGTCCTTGATAATAAGAGATTACAACTCTCCGTGGTAAGTGTTTCGGCGAGAAGATGCTAGAACCCCAGGTGATAGGATCATTACCCCCGTATGGAAGAATCTCTGAGCCTGAAATTGACCTGTGCAGACTAAGGCCGGGTGCTGGGCGGGCCCCTTGGGCCCTGTGGGGGGTGCTGACATTGCAGACCCGATTTTCCAAAATTATAAGTGACTCCTGATAAAATCCTAGGCTGAGCCAAGTCCACCTGTTTCTCCATTTGCTACCTCACTAGAAAATTACATATTTATTACAACTGTATAAAAGTATTTTGATTTTTACAACACAGTTAAGTTCTGGGTTCAGGTCTTTCTCTCCCCACCCCACCTCCCGCTGCCACCACATGTCTGAATTTTAGCCAGACATTTAAATAAGAGATCTTTACGTGTGGGAAGACCTTCTGGCAGACTATGTCACATGTTCTAGGCTGGTCACCACCTGCCTGTCCCTGTATCTAAATATCCCCCACACATGTCCTCACGTTCCCCAGGGGGGCGCTGGGCACTGCTCTGTTCAGTGCCACTTCCTCAGAGCCTGGAGCTTGGGGAGCCTCACAAGGATGCTCGGTCAGGATGACCACCCCCTCTCGGAAGTGGCCTCCCCATGGCAGCTCTGATGTGCGCTGACTGCTGTGACAGCCAGGACAGTGGAGCACCATGGGTCCCTGGCTTCTCCCCACATCCTGTACAGGGCCTCTTTGTCTCCAAGGTCAATGGGTGGGTGCAGCCCTTCCAAATTCCCATCCACACTGGGCCTGGCTGGGGTGGTCCCAGGACTCCTCCCCTGGACCTCAGGGGCATCGTTCGTTCATCTGTGCCTGTGTCCAAGATGCTGGGTGGGGTTGTGGGGTAATGTCCGTGCCCTCTGCAGAAACCGTGGCACCCTCACCATCAGCCCGGGGCTCCCTTCAAATGGTACAAGTGGGTCCTTTGCTCTTAGAATCACCAAAGAGGTTACTCTCTTTTTAAGAAAATAATATCCCTTGGAGCAAGCACCTGGGTGGCTCAGTCGGTTAAGCATCTGCCTTCAGCTCAGGTCATGATCCCAGGGACCTGGAATAGAGTCCCATGTCGGGCTCCCTGCTCTGCGGGGAGTCTGGTGCTCCCTCGCCCTCTGCCCCTCCCCCCCCCTCGTGCTTTGACACTCTCTCTCTCTCTTTCAAATAAATACTTAAAAAAAAAAAAAGGAAAATGATATCCTTTCCCTTCCACATACACGAGTATCATAGACAGGTAGGAACTGTAGGGATACAGACAGGTAGGGGTCTTTTCAGTTTTTCAGAGTGTTGATTTCAGCAAATCTGTTCCCTTATTGATGGCAGGCCCCTGCCAGCCTGGTCCCACCTGTGACTTGAAGTGTAATGAAGCACAGGCCATTTCTCTCGGGAGGCCCACGCTAACACATGGTAGCATCTGCAAGGATGGGTTTCATCTAAGGAAAGGTCACCTGCAGCTGAGAAACCCAGAGATGGAGAGAGGAGCCCAGCTTTGTGTAAAAATAACAAGGCAGTGTGGGTGAGCTCCGAGTGTTTAAGGGTCTGTGTGTGCTCTTTTGGAATAAATAATGCCCCCCATCCTTTGTTTCTTTTGCTTTCCAGTTCATATATGATGAAGAAATTGTGTGGTAAGTTTTAAATGTCTGTTTATTTTTCATTTTTTGTTCCTATCCTGCCTTGTTGGGTTTGTTGAATCTTTCTTGAGATTACTACTACAGACATGAGCTTAAGCCCTTGTGAAAGTAAAAAGGCATCATTCTAAACAATCACGTCTTTATACTTTCAAAGCGACAAAGATTGTTTCCCTCAGTGTTCCTGCTCTGCCAAATAAAACATATTATAAAGCTAAAATAATGAAAACGGTACAGCATTTTGGCATGGGCCAAAGTGGACTGTGGAACCAAGAACCCAGTCATGGGCCCATTTCTTGGCTGGGGGATATGACAGGTGTCACGACAGGCGGTGAGTTAGGGAGAGGCTCTCAGATACTGCTGGGGAAACTAGGGAGCTATGCAGAACAAAATAACATCAGATCCCTCTTCACACCTTATGCAAGAGGAGAATCCAGGTGAATTAAAGATCTCACTGTAGGGGCACCTTGTAGCTCAGCTGGTTAAGCATCAGCCTTCAGCTCAGGTCATGATCTCAGGGTCCAGGGATGAAGCCCCATGTTGGGCTTCCAACTGAGCAGGGAGTCTGCTTCTCCCTCTCCCTCTGCCGCCCACTGGTGCTCGTTCTTTCTCTCAAATAAATAAAATGTTTTTTAAAAGCAATATAGATCCCACTGTAAAAAGCAAAGGTAAACAGAATAAAATGTAGGAACTCACCTTAATGACCTCCAGGTAGGAAATGATGCCTTAATTAGGATACATAAAGCAGAAACTTGAAAGGTTGGCATTTTCACTGTGTCAGTGTGTTATGTGTCCATAAGCCATAGAGACGTTCTCTTCATGAGGGTGATTCAAAGTCGGCATCCCATCAGTGTCTTTCTGTGGGATTGTGCTCAGTCCGCTGAGGACATGAGCAGCCGGGTGCTCTGGGCCCAGAGAAACCTGCTTTCGGCCCGCACCTGGCCCTTAACCCACCCTGTGAGCCAGGCAGCCACTCCACATCCAGGGTCTCCTCCTAGATGGACTGGGGGCGGTGGCAGTGGGGTCATCGCCATCTCACCGCAGCTCTGCTGGGCTGTAGGCTCTGCCAGCAGAGGGAGAGTTCCCGAAAACAACCGTAGCTCATGCCTGGTGCATAGTAAGCCTTCAGCACGCATTTGTCAGATGACCAGACAGATTAAGCTGGGTGGCTCCTCAGTGGTCTGAGGTCCCTGCACGTGTGTGGGTTTGGGTGCTGCACCTGCTGGACAGCGGGGTGAGTGTCCCAGGAAGGCCCCGCCCCTGCTCCACTCCGGAACCCCGCCCTGCAGGCTCCTATGCCTGCCCTTCTCTCCCTGCAATTCCTCAGGCCCTTCCCCACTTGTACCCACAGCCTTTCCGGTCCCGGGCCAGAATCTCTGGTGAGCGCATAGGTCTCTTAGGACCAAGTGGGTATGACTCCAGGCTGCTCCCTTCTGTGGGTCCTGGGATGGGGCAGCCCTGGTCCCTCCGTTTTCTGGATACCCATGGAAATGCTGCCTGATCCCTGTGGACCCCCATCGCTGAGAAGAACCCACCCTCACCTTCTCTGTCCCCAAGAGGGCTTCAGATGGCAGCTGGCCGCAGCCTAGGATGGCGCCCCTGTTTGCCAGGGCCAGGGCTGGGGATGGTCAAAGGACCTTCTGCCCTGCTCCGCCAGGGCCTAGCCGTCAGCCCCAGACCCCGCGGCCACAGGCACCCTGTCCTAACCACAATCTCTGTTCTCTCTTTGAGGTGGGAAGGACTGATTCTCATCATCTTGTACGCATTTTACATTCTGATCATGAAGTAAGTAGCTTTTCTCTTCTCCCTGCTGGGCAGTCTGACGCCTTGTTCTGCTTCCTGCTCTAGCCTTTCGTTAGAGCCCAGACAAAACTGATGACAGACCTTCCAGCCACTTCCAGCCAACTCCGGTTCTCTGGGGGTACCCACTGGGCTACTCAGACTCTGTTTGGGGGCTCCTGTCCACACGTGGACCAGGGGAGCCTGGGCTGGTGGGTAGAGGATGGGGCTGTTCAAAGACAGGTGGCCAGCAAGACCTCTTTCCCGGGGGCTCCTTGCTGCCCTGGGGCACCACCCTTTCTCACTGTCGCCGTAAATCCCCTCTTCTCAAAGAGCCAGGCTACCTGGCTTTCGCACCAGGCTTTGTACAGTGCCACCTGTCAGGGGCTCCCCCTGGTGCAACTCCAGGGCACACCACTCAGGAAGGAAGGTGCAGACCCTGGGTCAGGGTTGGGCTCGCTTGCCACCTCCGGAAACCGCCTGGCTCAGCATGATCTCAAAAGTGCTAGTGAGGAGTATCATTCAGCCCTAACAAGGTAGGGACATCAGACTGGGATGAGCCTTGTAAACGTGCTAAGTGAAAGCAGCCAGTCACAAAAGGACAAAGACAGTATGATTCCGCTTGGGCGAGGGACTCTGGAGAGCCCAGTCCATAGAGCTTGTAGGTTAGAGATTACCAGGGGCGTGGGGGGTGGTTACTGGTTAACTGATGAACGGACACAGACTCATTTGGGATGCTGCAACCCGACGTAAATCATGCTGACAGTCACCCGACACGTCCTGGGACTGTGATTAGTGCCAACAAGTTAGACACTTAAAAACGAAAAAGAGTTAAAATAGCAGATTTTTCCACGTTTTAAAAAACAACCTCTCTGTGAGCTGAGTCCCCTTCAGGTTTTGTCATCTTTTCCACATCCCCAGAAAGAGTTAAAAGCAACACTGACTTTTAGGAGACTCTGAGTCCCCACATTTATATCAGATGTTTATGGTATTTTGTGCAAATGGGTGATCACCTGTCCAAGGGCGGGAGGCTTGTCCTCACGTGAACCACTCGCTTTCTGAGCACCTTCCAGAGAGGTGGGTGGCCTGGGGTCTGAGCCGGAGATGGTGTCTTCTCTGGGGGGGTGTGCCTGGCTGTGAGGGGTACAAGCTGGCCTGCCGGGTAGCCCATGGGAGCAGGACACATGGCTGTGGGAGGGAAGACCAACCTGGTGACACTTCCTTTGAGCCTGCCTTTGACACTGGCCTGAACTTCCTTTATTAGGACAGGCTTGGGACAGGTATGAGTAGACATGGGTCATGCTCTTGGACCAGAGGTTCTTTATGCCTCCCTCCTCATCCCCTGCCCAGAGAAGCCACTAATAGCCCAGTGGGGCAGGCCTCTGAGAGCACGATGTTCTCGGGGTCCTGTCAGGGGACTGTCAGCTCCACTAAGCGCCCTCCACTCCCCCTCGCCGCCTCCAAAGGCCTCTCCCAGGGTGCACGGGGTGGGGGTGGAGTGCCAGGCATCTCCCCAGGCTCTGACTTCCTGCCTTAACTTCCAGGTACAATGTGAAGATGCAGGCCTTTTTCACCATCAAACAAAAGGCCATTGCCAATGGCAATACCGTCAACAGCGAGCTGGAGGATGGTAATGATTACTGTGATAGTAGCTCTGACGATCCCTCCATGCCGTTGCTGAGGCGAGGTAAGGCTGAGCAGACAGGAGCGGCCCATGCTGAGTTCCTGAAACCATCGCCCGTTCTCTCTCTTGCACGCACTCACACCCCACCTAAATTGTCACTCTCTTACCTTTGGTCCCAAGGCCCTAAACAAGGACATGTGGCTCAGACTTGTGTTTGCGTAGAAGGGAGAAGGATGAAGAGAGCCAACAGTCATGCCCGGGGGACTTTCCCCCAAGCCTCCTGAGGAAGGTTCCAGGCCTGCTGGTCTCCTGTGAAATGCAGCGAATTACCTGTCTGACCCTCGGAAAAGGCCAGTGGCAGGAGGCGGAGGACTTGGGGTGGCAAAGCAGGCTCAGGTCTCCCTGTGATTTCTCACATGCCAGGCCCAGTTTTGGTGGAGAACTCTGTTCTGGAGAGATCTCTGTCTCGTCACCCAGAGGAACGGCAAGGCCTGGGAGGGCAGCCACAGAGCTGAGCAGGAACATCCAGATCCGCCCCAGAGAGCCCTGCCTGGGAGCCCTGACCCCAGGGGCGGCCCCCTTGTCTGGGGTTCTGGGCCCCCAGGGAGTGGTTAGGCCTGAACAAGTTTCTGTAATGAAGATTATGGAAAAACAGATGAGCCTGGCATCTCCAGTCCCACCCACAGGGTTGGTAAAGGCCTTCACCAGCATGACAGGTGGATGGGCCACGTGAGGGTCTTTCTTCCATGTTCCCCGTGGCCCCAGAAGAGCCACGTCCTCTTTCAGGCGACTTTCACTCCTTCATGGGGTCTGTGACAGCCCCGGTGGTCTTGGGGGTCAGTTTGCTCATGTCTGGGACGTGTGGGGGCTGAAATCTGTCCTCCTTGGCCCCTCACTAGTCTTTACTAGTGGGGCAGATCTGAGTAGGGACTCCAAGTCCTGGATGTCTGGCAAGTTTGTTCTGTCCCGTCTCAGGCAACCGCCTGATGGAGGCACCTGTCACAGGTGCTTGAAGGAGGAATGAATGTCTCCATATGAAAGAGAAGGAAGAAGCCCACTGGGGTTGTAGTCATGGTTACGGCCCGGCTGCCAGACACCACTGATCCCTGATGGTCAGAGAGGGGAGGCCTGGAGAGCTTGAAGCTGTAGCCATGTGTCCTGTCGCCAAAATGCCTGGCAGCCTCCTCCAGGAGAGAGCCTGTTTCCAGGACAACCTCCGCAGAGGGGAGGGACAGATGTGGCTGCTGGTTTGCATTTTAGCTCCACAGATAGAGCGGGCCCGAGGTCCCAACTGCAGATCCCTGAGCACAGCATCTCAGGACAAAGGTTGATTCCTGCCCAGTCTTGTACACTGAGATTAGTGCTCCGGGGCCCACAGGACCTTCATGGCAAAGAAGAAAGATTCCAAGTGGTGGTGGTGGGAGTCATTCATTCCTCAGGTGCCAGCCCCAAGAGCTCCCTACCACCTGCGTGGCCCGTGCAGGAGGCCCCTCCTTAGTGTCCCGTGGGAAGCATCCCTTACTTGCAGAATAGCCACATCCCACATGGGGCCTCTCCTCGGGCTCTGTCCTGCCACTGTCTCCATTCCTTTGATACCCAGGACAGTAGGACCTCCCCCACAGGTCTCTCATTTTCCCCCAAACATCTAAGTCCGAGAAAATGTCTAGAAAATTGGAAGATTAGACACAGGGCTGCCCCTCCCCCCAAACATAGGAAAAGGAGGCAGATGGGCCTCCCTCCAAGTTTCATCAAGGAGGAGGCATTTGGATAACGGCCAAGGAGAGAAAGGTCTGGACAGGGGGGTGAGGGTAGGCTGCAGGGCTGAAAACTGAGATCAGGGAGTCCCAGAGATGGAGCCTTCAGGATTTCGTAGCCCAGGCTGGTGGAGGGCCCTGTGTGTAAGTCACCGCAGGGCACTGTCCCCCCAGAAACAGACTGAGGCAGGAGGAAGGTGTTCACAGGAACCCTATAGGGACTGAGAAGGGGCCTCAGGAGTTTGCCTTTCTTTCTTTCTTTTTTTTTTTTTTTTAATTTTATTTACTTATTTGACAGAGAGAGATCACAAGTAGGCTGAGAGGCAGGCAGGGTGAGGGGGAAGCAGGCTCCCTGCTGAGCAGAGAGCCTGATTCGGGACTCTATCCCAGGACCCTGGGATCATGACCTGAGCCAAAGGCAGAGGCTTTAACCCACTGAGCCACCCAGGTGCCCAGGAGTTTGCCTTTCTTAATGGTGTAGTTGTCACCCGTCTTTCCAAGGCAGAGCTCCCCATCCCTGCTCCTCGGCCTACGGGCAGGTCCCCATCTACCCACCCACCCAAGGAGGCCCAGGACTGCTGCCTGGTGGGTGGATCCTGTCCAGAGCCCACAGGCACACACAGCTCTGGTTTTTCCTGTTACCAGTTTTGGTGTTTCCCTGTGCCAAGTCAAACTGTTCAACTCGGCCCCTTCCCAGGTGTTTGGCCTTGTTACTACCACTCTTGTAAAATGTACTTAAATGTTCTTTAAAGGTTATGAGGTTCTTTTTACCAAATCCTCTCGGGCCTTTTTTTTTTTTTTTTTTTTCTTATTTTGAGGGGGTGGCAGGACATAATATCTTCCTGCTCTGTTCTTCATTCAGATGTTTGGGTTTTTCTAAAACTCTTAGAAATTTTTCACATGACGCTTCAGTTCTGCTCAAGAAAGCAGAGAAAGGTCTAAGAAAAGGTCCCCAGGGCAGAGGAAGAGGGTACCCCCTGTTCCCCTTTTCCAGCTGCTAAAGGAGTCCCCCTTCTCTGCTGGTTGCCACAGCCTCACAGCCAGGGCTCCTGGGGCTAACCGCTAGGCTCACGGTGGAACTTTCTAGGCTGCCCTGGCCCTGGATCCGACTTGGGCTTCCAGCAGCGAGAAAGGAGGCAGACGCCTGGCCTGGGGCTGAAGAACTGCCAGAAAAACATTCTCTAATGGAGTGATTTTCCGGGCAGCCCCCCTTGGCTTTGCCATATCACCTCCTGCTGCCATTTGGTGACAACACCACGACGAGAGTCCTCCCTATCTCCCCACCCCACCCCTACCCCCTCACCCCCCACGCTGGGGAAGCCAGTTATCACAGCTTTTGCCTCAATGAACTGATGCTCCAGAGGCTCCCTCCTTCTGATCCCAGGGGCTCCCCAGGGGATGCCCATGTCAGGGCTGGTTCTACAGATAGGACAGAACCTGGAGCCTGCGGGTGGTTGGGCGGGTCTCCTCCCTAGGAGGGAGTGGTTCAAGCTCTCTAGCAGTGAGGGGTCCTGCTCCTCCAAGTGGGCCAGAGCCATAGAAATTGGCCAGGAGAGGGGCCCTTCCCAAAGCCCTGAGCACTGAAGCCCCCTGTAGCAGGAACCCCTCTACTAACTCCTTCAAATAACCCCCTGGCATCTTGGCCACCATCAAGAACGCTGCCCCAGGCTCTCTGCGTCCACCGCACGCTAATCACCTCTGGCAATCTCTGTTGGCCTTTGTCTCCTTAACTCTTCTCTTCTGAACTGTAAGTAATCTGCTTTCACCCAAGCGATAACACACGGATTACAAAACAAACCAGGACCTCCGGCGCACACCTCCTTACAGGTTAGCGTCTGTCCTGACAAATGCGGGGTCCTCCTGGCTTCGTTTCTAACCTCCATGCCTCCTGTCTGCTGAGCCTTGCTGCCTGTTTGGTGAGGGTGTGCGTGTGGGGTGTGCATTTGCTCGTGTCGGTGCCATTAACTCTCTCGAGGGTGTGCTCTTGGCTACTCTTGCCGGGAAAGGCCGCTCTCCAGGAGCCGGTGACAGTGTAGAGGGACAGCCCTACCCACTTTGACAGTCTCCCCAGAGGGAAAAACCACCTGCTTCTGTGTGCTGTGTTCCTGAGCAGTTCCATTCGTGGCCTCCCCAGGGCTCCGGAGTTACATGTCAGATCCCCCTGGGAGGCCAGCCCCGAGCGAGCCTGTGAAGCTGGCAAGGAAGAGGCCTGAGGCCTGGAGACATTTACTCTTCAGCCTCTTGGGGTGATGGGGGTCGGGGGGAGGTGGGAAGCAAAGGGTCAGAGACTGTGGCCTCCCTGCTGGAGGGTGTATGTTTTATCAGAGACGTGGGATGTGGCCAGCAGCCCTCAGCAAGCAGGCTTTCCTCTGGGGTCTCTCTTGCCTCGTCCAGCCCCTGTGGTCCTCATCCTTGCCCTCACTGCCAGGCCCCTATCCTTCTCCGCCAGGTGGAGATGGTTGTTCAAACGGAGCAGGTGGCCTGATGGGAAGCTGAGAGCCCGTGCTATCTGGTGCTTTCTAGCATTTTCCATCCTGGAGGGCCCTTGTCAATTTCCAGAGTTTTATCTGAGCCTCTGTCAACAGTGGGGAAGAAAGGTCCCCTCGCCGTCATGGGCTAGGAGGGGGCAGGGACCCTGTCTGAATTGTAGCCAGGCCCCCCAGTGAGGTGCAGACGAGGAACTGAGAGGCCTTAGTCAAGATGGACCCCAAAGAGAGGGGGCATCACCCAGCGGAGGGGCTAGACGTGAAGCGTTTGCTCGTGAGGCATCCTGTAGCACGGGACCCCGGTGCCTCGGCTAACACTCCCAGTTGGCAGGCAGTCCCCTGGCAGCTGCCCAGACCACAGCCCCAAGAGGTCTGCAGCGTGAGGGGAGGTCAGCCAGCCCAGTGCTGGGGTGTCATTCCCAAGGGAGATCTCAGCACTAATCATAGTGTTGTGCTCAATATAGTGAAGGAGGAGCCTCAGTACAGCAAAAACCCAGTGGTGATGGTGGACGAGGTCATGAGCTCCAGTCCTCCCAAGTTCAGCTTCCCGGAGGCGGGCTTACGCATCATGATCACCAACAAGTTTGGGCCCAGGACCCGACTGCGGATGGCCAGCAGGATCATAATTAATGAGGTCAGTCTGCGTCAAGGGCACTAAGAGTGAGTGACCTCGGGTGTTTGCTGTGCTTTGAAGACACGGGCTGGTGCTGGGCCACCAGGATGTCCTCAGCCAGACTGGCCTTTATTACTGTCCCTGCTATGCAAGGAGGCCCAAACGTTACCAGCGAGCAGCACACGATCCTCTCCAGAGGTATGGCACAAGGCAGGCAGCAATCAAGTACAATTTCTAAGATGTGCCACTAAGACTTTTGTCAGGCACTAAAGGAAAGCTAAGTGAAGAAAGGCCAGCTGGAAGTATGGGTTGTTTCTTTAAAGTGTTCTTTAGGACAAAAAAAAGATGAGCACACACTTGTTCTTTACAGACAGAAGAACTCTAGGAGAAAACCAAGAACACCGGCGAAGGTCACTTACTCCTGATCACTTCCTTTTCACTCTGCACCCTCCTGTTCTGCTTGAAGTTTGTGCCCTCTTTCTCACTTGGGGGAAAAAAAAAATCAGTTTTAGTGCTATTTCCTGTCCAGAAACTATAGCAAAGATGCCCCCACTCTAATGACTTTCCAACTTTCTTCCAGGCCGCATATGTGCATATGGGAGTTTGAAGTCCCTACCCTCACACCCAGGTAGTTCTCAGAGAGCTCGCAAATTTGATAACTAATAATCCGTGGTCAGCATGTCAGAGGTATGCAGAAATGATATCGCCCAGGGCTGAAAAGTTCTGTATTTTGAACATTTCTGCTTTTGTGTATAATACGTCCTCCCTGTGGAAGATATGGAAAGAAAGAGAAACACTGCAAATGCTGCATCATTCTGAATCCTTTTGACCCAGGGCAGTTAAATAGGAATTGGTGAAATTTTACTGAATCCTGGTTATCTTTCATGAGCATAATTGTACCCACTGAATGGGGGTAAGGACAACTCTGAAGGATATGGGTTCACGGTAGCTTTCTCATGGCAGACCCACCAGGGAAATCATTGGGGTTTTGAGGAGCTGGTAAAATATTGATGTTTTAGGCTGCTGGGAAGACCTTGTGTCCTCCCCCTACCCCCACCACCAGGCTGGGATTGAGTGCCCTGGCAGGGAGCATAGGGATACAGAGAGGCCGGGCTTGGGAGAGGAGATGGGCTTTTAATCTCCCATTAGCCACTAACTGGTTTGATCTTCCTGGGTCTCAGTTTCTCTTAATGAGAATGTTTGGGAAGATGCTAACAGCACTAAAAATTTCAGTGGCACACAACCGATAAACTGTGCGTGGGAGCAAAGCTGTGTCTTGGGGTAATTTCATCAGAGAATGGGAGTGGGGGGAGAAAAAAACAAAAAACCCAAATGCCCAGTTTCAAAGTTGTTTCTTAAGACCCTGGGTCTCATTAGAATGTTCAGTTATTTTAATTCCAAACTGTTAGAGATGTTTGCAAAGCCGCGATTAAGCCATGATAGAGTCTAGTGCTTGCAGTACGGATGCCCTTGTTTGTTCTCCGGAGAGGACAGAGCAGCTGAGAGGGGTTTGCAGGGGGGGCAGGTGTATAGGAGAGGGGGTGCGAGGGGTTTTCCTTCACTCAGAGGCTGCACCTGGCTGTCCTCACCCAGAGCCCCTGCAGTGAGTTGCCAAGGCGCTTTGAATCTCCCCCACCTTCAGTTTCCATGCATCTCACACCTGGGTGCTGGTCATTTTGAGCTGGTCCATTGGACGCTGAGGCCCGGCCAGGTGCAGGATATCTTACCTCTTAATGACCTTCTGCAGCAGATGATGAGATTTCCAGTTTCTCAGAGAGGCAAAGTAATTTGCCCAAAGCCACACACAGCTAGTATGAGCGCAGAACAGGGATTCCCACCCAAATTTGCATCTAGACTGCAAAAATAGGACTGCGTAGATTATCAGGGGTCAGTGAGTCCACTTTCTCAGACCCTTCTTTCTATATCTTTATTCCCTCTATAATGTTCAGCCCCTGCTTGAGTTGCTTATAATTGTCTCTTCCAAGTGGTAACTCTTTGAACATCACCACCCCCTGATTTTCTCCTTGAACTGAAATATCCTTAGAACCTCCCACCCTCTCTGATGCAGCAGGGTTCCTGTCATTACCATCTTCCAGCTTGTCTCTCTCAGCATGTGGATCCATCACCTCCTTTGTGTTATAATCTATGCCTCTTTTAATACAACCTCAGGTAACTTTAGATATTTTTCTAGGTACAATGCTCTGTTGATATTAAGCTAGAATCATGACTCCTTTCCATTGCTACCATTCATGTTGCCATTAAGTCATGCCTCCCTCCTTACAATTCTGTCCTTGCATAAACAGGTTTTTTGTTTAACTATAGGAATCACCTGTCATTTAATAGTACTTAGGTTTGCTACTTGGGTAGCAAACTATTATGACTCCACATCTGAGCTTTTGTCTCAGACACAGATCTCTTTGCTCTTTTGGTAGGCTAAGTGTTGTGAACACACTTGTAAAAAAAGAATTTTAAAATTTTCATCCCACCCTAGGCTTCATGATTTAGAAGTCCCTACCTAAAACCAACATGAAGGCAGTTAAACAGTTCCTTTGTTGTTGTTTTTAAAGAGAAATAACATGTATTTTAATAATGATGTTTTAACTTCCAGATAACCACGAGGATAGGCATTGGACACACAGATAGAAATAATAGTGCCTTGGGGACACATTCACGCCCTCTTAGTCTCCTGGCAAAGAATTGGGAGGGGTCTATATTTGTCCATTGTGTGACAGTCCTTACCCCCAAGGCCTAACTCAGGCTGACATATTGGGTATTTAAAATCAGAACCAAATGAATGCGAGCTGGGGAAAGGCAAAGGCAAAGGAAAATGGAAACCTGTTGATTTCTAGAAACGTGGCTTCTGCCTTTCCCCGGTTTCTAGAAGCCCATGGAATCGGTGAGGAAGATCAGCTTCTGCGTGTGGAAGGGAGGCAGCCTTTGTCAGTCACTATAAGATGGGGCCGGGAAGGGGACAGTTTGGTTCAGGACTTAACCCATTAGACATGGCAAAGCACTGGGACAGCAGAGACCATCCCAGTGGCCAGCGACCCAGTAAAGTGCTCAGCATCGTTGGTCGGTGGGGAAATGCCGAGCCATGGCTGGATACCATCACACACCCACCAGAATGGTTCACATGGAAAGGGCTGCCAGGGTCAAGTGCTGACCAGAACAGGACACAAAGGAAATTATAATGCATTGCTGATATGAGTGTGACGTGGTTCAGCATGCAGGTACTGTGTGACCCAGAAATTGCACTCCCAAATACACGAAAGAAACAAGTGCATTTTGTCCAGAAAAAGACTGGTGCACAAATGTTCATAGCAGTGTTCTCCATAAGAACATAAGAATAAAAGAAGGGAAACTGCACAATGCATCATGGGTTATTCATACAGTGGAATAGTCGACAGCCATGAAAAATAGTCAGCTACTCAGGCAACACCACGAATGAATTTTACAGATATTGAGTGAAAGAAGCCACACATAGAATAATACATATTATTTGAATCCATTTATATGAAGTTCAAGTTCAGGAGAAGCAAACTGATGTTTATAAAAGTCAGAATAGCAGTTACCTTGGTTACCTCTGGAGAGAAGGGGCATATAAACCAGGGAGGTGCCTGAGGGACTCTTCTGTGGGGCTGGAAATGGTCTACACCTCGATGGAGAACGTCATTGAGCTATATGCTTCATTTGAGTGTGTTTTTGCACAACAGACCTGAAAAAAATTAAACATTTAAAAAAATGATGTGGGATGTTTCCTGTAGCTATCTTCAAGCAGCTTATAAATGTCCAGTGAAGGATCTGGAATGGTCACTGTCTTCCAGAGTCAGGGGCTAGGTGGTCTGGTTGACATTAAGAAGGGGAGGCCCAGGTTCTGCCCAGGCCCCAAAGGCTTTCCCAAGTATCAGTCCACCTGGAAACGAGCAAACTGAGATGGAGTCCAAGGTTCTTGGGCCATTTCTCAGGGAGCACAGGGATGGCGTTCCAGAAGCCGTTCAGGGCTGTGCATCTGTAAGGAACAAACCACCATGGAACACTTGTCCCATGTCTTGGCATCTGACTTGCCTCCTGTCCACACAGCGGCAGAGACTGATCAACTCAGCGAACGGTGCCAACAGCAAGCCACTTCAGAACGGGAGACACGAAAACATTGAGAATGGGAATGTTCCTGTGGAAAACCCCAGCAACCCGCAGCGGGAGCAGGAGCCGCAGCCCCCACCGCCACCGCCTCCCCCAGAGCCGGAGCCAGTTGAGTCTGCCTTCCTGTCCCCCTTCTCCATGCCCGGTGAGTTCTGGGGGCGCGGGGCCCTCGGGCTAAGCTGAGGACTTCAGGTCAGAGACCTGGACCCATGAGGGCCAGGGAAGGCTGTGCAATGGGTTGACATTAGGTCACTGGCATGTGCCAGACAGCAGGTCAGATAGAGACGTAGGGAACCCTAGTAACCCCTAGTGACTGCATTTAAATGCCCAGGGCAACTGGTCTTTCTTTTGCAGTAAGAAAAAGCAACCACCACTGTTATTTTCACAGACCTGGTTTGATTCTCCCACCCAACATTCACTGACAGGATATTCTAAGGCCAGAAATTACCCACAGACAGTTATACCTCCTCCATTTGACAGCATCTCCTACCTGTACATAAGTCCTCATCTTCCTCCATCTCACTGGAGTATGACCTCTGAAGCTTAGTGACCTCTGACTGCCAGCTCCTTGCTGACCTCAACTTCTGCTCTTCTCCTTCATGCACCCTCTCCTCCAGCCACACTGGCCCCCTTCCTGTCCTTAGAACACACTTGTATGCCCTGCCTCAGGACCTTTGCACTTGCCTATTGCTGGAATGCACTGTCCCCCATGGGCCATAGGGTTTGCTCTCTCCCCTGCTTCAGATCCCTACTTAAATGTCACCTTCTTGGGGTGGCCTTCCCTGACAATGCTGTTTGAAATTTTTTTTTTAAGATTTTATTTATTTATGTGACAGAGAGAGTGATCACAAGTAGGCAGAGAGGCAGGCAGAGTGAAATATTTTATATATATATAGATAGATATGTATATATATATGTATATGTATATATGTATAGATACATATATATATACATATCTATCTATGTATCTATCTATCTATATATATATATTTTTTTTTTTCCCCGTGTGTGTCTCCCCCAGCTAAAATGTCACCTCCACAAAGGTCAGGGATCTTTGTCTGTTTCGCTCCTGCCTGACACATGGGAGGGGATTAGCAGGTATCTGTCCAGCGAGGTCAGATGCAAGAGGAACCCCAGACATACACAGTGTACCTTCCTCTTTAACCAGCTTTCTGTGCAGGCCTTTGAGTCCTAGGTGGGAGATGAAGGCCTTGGTCTCAGAGCTTTTGCCTCGGTGTCCTGCCATCCTGAGAGGGAGAATTCCAGGATTTTCAAGTCTGGAACTTGATGTTTTTCTGAAAAGAATTCTGTGTTTAGCATCGGGATCACAGAGCATGTAATTTAAGAGATGGCTCTGTGGGAAAAGGGGATGTCCAGTCCCTCAACCCCGTGTTAAGGGAAGACTCCTGCCCCCAAGTAGATGGCGGGGGGCCTAGCCAGGCTGGGATACTCTGCCATTATGGTTCATCCTGAATATAGAGGCTCCATTTGGGATCACAGGGCTGCCTCGGGGTTCCACGGTCAGAGTCTCCAGGGGCACTCTGCTTACAGCTACCTGGCGCTCCCCAAAATTCAGGGTCTGGTTCTGAAACACGGACATTTCAAAGACTGGCACAGGACACAGGAATCAGCGTTTTCTAACCTTCTCTGGGTGATTCCTGGGAACTGGCTAGGTTAGGAGGCGCTGATCCCTGTGAGTACCTCCCAGCTTGCTTTCACATGAAGGGCAGACCAGGAAAGTGACATTTTTCTCCTCACTGACGTCACAGAGGGGCCCAGCCCTGGGGTCCAGCAACCCCCGCCAGGACCTCCCTGCCGACCAGAGGGGTGAGGGGAGCTGTGTCGGACACATCCCTGACACATCAGCACACCTGTTGGAAGACTTTGGGGAGTAGAGGTCATGCTCATGTAGCTTGCCTTGTAGGCTAAAGATCACACTATATTTAGGTGGGAGCTTGGCCCCTGGGCCAGGTCTGGGCCACTGAAAGAATGGGTGGCCTTCTCCTGTGCAGCCAGATCCCAGGAGGGCAGTGTGTCCCCCCAGAGCAGAACCTGCTCCAAGTCTGAAAAGCGGGGACGGGGCCCTGCCCTGCCTAGCATTTTTCACTTCTGTGTTCATGAGCAGTCCAGACACAGGCCTGGAGTCCGGAACCCCGAGTCCCCCACAGCCGTTCATTGTAACACCAGCAGCCCACTTCCTCTCCGGCGTCCACACAGGGTGAGCATGGGGACTCAGGGCAGCAGGCTCCCCGGGGTTTCAGTTCCTCAGGGGCCAGAGCCCAGATGCAGCGGGGGCTGGGATGTGGAGGGAGAGGCGGCCATGGCCCCACCAAGCTTTCTGGGGAGGAGTTCCCACGCTGTGAGCTGTCTTCTCCAGTCCCAGGAGGTGTGTGACAGAGTTCCCACTTGGCGGGTGTGGGGCCTGATGGGGCCCCAGCCACCACCCTGCCCTGGCCACTTTGTGTGGACCCATGTACGGGCTTGGCAGGAAAGCAAAGAAGGGACATGCCATTCTGGGCAGCTACGTGTAAGGACCACTCACCTCTGTGTTTCTTCGCACCCTTGAGTTTGGCAGGACTGGGTTGGGTGGACCCCAAGGCCTGCCATCCCTCCCTTGGTTTTGTCCCGGGGACCTGGAGCTTCTCAGACAAGTGGCCGTGGGAAATGGGGTCTAGCTCCTTGCAGGACTCTGTCTGGGGGGCTCAGCCTCTGGGGCTGGGGTGGGTTGGGGGGCTTCATAGGCTGCTTATCTTGCCAGGGCTGGGCCTGGGAGCTCCCAGGCTCTGTGGACCTGAAGTACTCTGGCCCAGAGCATGACCCTGCCTGGCAGCCCCCCGCTTCCTGCAACAGCTGGTCCACCATCCTCCAGCCAGAGGCTCCAGGACGTTCCCCAGGGCTCAGCTCAGAGCAGAGCCAAATGCTTCCGCCCCGAGCTTGCTGCCTCTTGCTCTCAGGAACAGGCCGGGCTTCCTGCGTCCCTGTGGAAAGCTCCCTCTCCTTTGTGTCCCTGCGGATGCGTGTCCAGGTGCTGCCCTTGGAAACCACGAGTTACTTCCTGCTCCTCCTCCTCTTCCCTCTGCTCACCTTCTTTAAGGACTGGGGCGTGAAAAGGGGGCCCTGTGGCTGTAGGCTTCTGACTTGCCTCCTTCTGACTTTCCGTTTAGACCCGCACGGCAGCCACGGAAAAGTGAGGCCGGTGTGGACAGAGGTTTAAAGGAATTTAGACGGTGGGATGCAGCACCTGTGAGAAAGTCTGCGGGTCTGGCACCAGGCCCTGGACCACCTCTCTGGTGGGGGCCTCACGATGATCCGAGGCTGGCCAATGGCCCCGGAGGCACTTATGGGCCAGAGGGATCTAGCCATCCCCTAAGCTGGGCCCTGGAAGGAGTCGCCAGGGGTGAAGAAAGTGGTAGCAGCAGTGGGGATGGGAGGAGGGAAGGAGCCATTCCTCTGGTCAGCTTGGAACCAGTCTTTCTGCTGTGGCGGGATGAATCGGGGCCTGCCATTTCTGTGCACAGTCCTTCTGTGGGGTCGGGGGGCAGCCTGGGAGGCAGGCTCTGGAGTCCAGAAGTCCTGAGTTCAAGTTTTGGTTCTACTCCTCCCCAGCAGGAAGCACTGGGAAAACTGCTTCGCCTCCCTGAACCTGTGCCTCAGCCCCAGAATCGGGGCAACAGTGCTTACACCCCAGGGTGTAAGCACTTACACTCTAAGTGTGTGTAAGGTACTTAATCACCGTCTCTGGGCACCAACGGACACATTGTAGGTGTGCGGGAAATGCTCGTTTGGATTATGGGCTTAAATCACATGGTTTCTGTTATATCTGGCTTTTCATACCTTTCCCCATGTTTGGACCACAAGCTATGTTCTAGAAGAGTCACAGGGGGCCTGGAGGCCTAGAGCGTGGTCATCCTGCGGGTCCAGGAGCACCTGCTGTGTGCCAGGTACCCACCTCTGGGCACTTTGCCAATAAGATCCCTCTTCTCAGGAACTACTTGGGTACGGGACCACTGTGGGCTTTGGGAATGTGGGTGGGAACAGGACAGCCATGGTCCCTGTCCTTGGCCAGCTCGCAGATGTGCTGGATAAATGCAGGCATGTCACCACAGGATGCACATCACGATTCGTCTTCCTTTCCAAAACAGTGGACAGGTGGAGGAGGTGGCCCCAGCCTGTGGCCCCCGGGCTCTGTCACCCATGCAGGATCACGAGGATATGGACTGTAGCCCGGGGACATTCAGCAGCAGCCCGGCCCTGGCACTCACCTGGCCTGCCGGACACCCAGGGCAGCCTGCTCTTCCCACTCTGGGCCGCAGAGGCTGGTAATTAGGCTTCCCCAGGCCAGCCATTGCCTGGGGGAGAAGCAAGAGGAGAGAAGCTTTTTCTCCCATGGAAACTGTGGTCTGCAACCCCAGGGGACGGCTCTGAAGTTGCCAGCTGGAGACCCCGAGTCCCAGCCTGGCCAGGGAAAGCCCATAGTGCAGGTTGTTTTGTGGCTGATTTGTGGGTTGACTAGCCCAGGGGGTCAACGTGACTCCTCTCTTCTGCCTGCCGAAGTGTAAGGGAATCCCAACATGTACGGGGATGCTGGCCTTCACATCTGCCACTGTCATGATGGCTCTGGGGACTTGCTGTAGGTCAGGCCTGGAATCCTTATAGGGCTCTCTGGGGACTTCCAGGTGCTATGCCCTGTCCTAAGAGCTTTATGTGCTTTTGCTTTCATTGAACCCTCCCATGAGGTAGGGACAATGTTCTCCATTCTGCAGAGAAGGAAGGAGAGGGCAGAGACGCTGAGCCAGTCACGCAGTCACCCATCTCCTAGGAGGAGGGGAGGGGTCCGGGTGTGCAGCCCTGCTCACCACTGTGCTGTCCCACCTGTGTGCACTGAGCATTTTATTTTTCCTCACAGCACCCTTTAGACGAGGCATCATCTTTATCTCCATTTTGCAGAGGGAAACTGAGGCCCTGAGAGGCTGAGTGACTTCCTGAGTCACACGGCCATTAAGTGGGGGGAATCCCCTCTTCCCTCTTGTGTCCCCCGAGCTGTGAACACCATCACAGGCTGGCCCACTGGGGAGCAGAGTCCTGGACCGTGAGCCCCCGGGCTGTCCGACAGCTGGCAGGTGACCTCAGGTATATGCATCCTGG